AATATTTATCTGCAGCACCCTCAGACTGCCACAAAGAAAAACCTCACTGCTCCTGCTTTCATCGCTTGGCAATCAGAGAAAGAAGGCAATGGGGTCACTGGAGAGGAGCCTGGACCATGTGCTGTTAAGTATCCCCAGGACAGGGAGCCTAGGAGCTCTGGGAAGATATTTGGGGCCGCTGAGAAGCAGCTACATTGGCTTGTTTCCCAGAGTTGGGCTGCCTATGTCAGGGGTGAGTGGGAGGGACACGCATCACGGTGTGACCCAGGGACATGGGGCCAGGCCCAGAGCCCCTTTGAAAATCTCCCCTTTGTAACCACAGTACAGCTTGGACCCTTCCTGTCCGGTTTGGTCTGCAGCAGGTTGCTGTATTCAGAACAAGCCTCTCAGCTGCTTGCTGTGACCCTAACTTCAAAGGACCCCGCTTCTCCACTCCTCTGGGGCACGTCAGTGGTCCTGCACGTGCGATCAGAGAGGCGATCCCATTGGGAATGAAGGCTGCTGTGGAGAGCTGCAGCGTCTGGGCAGTCCCAGGCAGGTGCGTGCTGCGGTGCTACACACCCCGTGCTAGTTCACAACCTCTCATCTTCACAGAAGGGCAAGGACCCAAACCCTACAACGAATCCATGTTGGACCAGGTTATCCCCAGCTAGGTCGGGAACAGTTTGGCTGTGTGAAAGAAAACGTGGCACCTAAAAGCCAGACAGGTAACCCACTGAATTGCTGAAGATATTGAAGATGCTACCAGATTCCCTTGTAGGCTGCATCCAGATGTGTAGGAGTGTGCACTTGCAGCAGCACAAATTGGTGCATGCCTCTGTACGTGCGCTTTGTTGAGGGACAAATTGTCCCGCATCGGGCAAACCGCCCTTGCCCAGCTCCTCCCGGCTCTTCAGCTGGAGAGCTGGAGGCTGGGGTCAGCACTGGTACTAGCCCCAGCAGTCTTACCTGGTGGCCTGGAGCAGCAGGGGCACAGGTTGGGCAGCACGGAGACATGGCCAGTAGCCAGACCACTGCTTTGGATGGCCTGGCCTCCGTGTGTGCAGGCGTGTGCTTGCTGTGCATGCATTGCGCCCCTTTTTTCCATTTTTTTTTTTTTTTTTAGCAACTGGGAAATCCCAGCAGCAAATTTTGGCCCTGTGCTGCAAAACTGCAGTGCGGGGCACATTTTAACCTTTGGTGCATGTGCTACCACAAACCCCACACCCTGCTTGTCTGGACACAGCCTTAGTAGTTATGCAGTTTTCATTGTTAGGATTGCTAAAATCAGAACGCAAAGGGGGAACTCTCGAGCATAGATTGCCAACATTTTATAGAAGCAAGGCATTCTTCTATAAAAGGGTCCCCTCCTTTACCTTTTAGGATTTGGGATCCTATGACCCCAGCTGACTTCCTGCCCTTTGGACAGGGGGCTGGACTCGATGATCTTCCGAGGTCCCTTCCAGCCCAAATGTCTATGAAATCTATGAAGCCTGTGGCAGGGTTGATGACAGTCTTACGTAGTATTTCGATTATGGATTGTATAGGATGGTTGGGATACGGATGATCCTGCCCCATGCAGAGGGTTGGGATAGATGACCTCTGGAGATCCCTTCCAGCCCGACTTCTCTAGGTCAGATTGACCAGCCCAGGGATGCAACAACTTCAGAGAAAAGTCTTGTGTATCTAGAACCAGATATGTACAAACAGCAAATCCTTTATGCTTACATGAGCTAGACCTGGACTGTGCTTCACAAGCAACAAACCACCTGAGAGTAAAGGAAGGTCCAACGTAAGCTCTAAAAACCAGTCATGTACTGTTAGACTGAACGGCCGCAGAGGGTCAGTGCTACAGATCAGTACACACATATCAAAAAGCAGGTGACACGAAAGGTCAATTAAATCCATGTACTGTACCTCTCGTGCTGTGACCTGGCTCTTACAGGGAGAGGATGCCATTCTGAGAGTGGGATCGCGGCTTATTTCCTTTTCTGAAGGACGCTGACCCTTTGCTGTCTTCGATCTAAAAACACACAACACACGAGGAATAGCAGTTTGTTACAAACGAGGAGTTTGCAGCTGATCTGCTGGCATGCTTTTAATGGCTGCCAAGCTGGTTGTCACTTCTCTCGGACCTGGCAAGGACAAGGGGGATATCTTAATGGGCGCTGTGGATGAACATAGGTGACGGCATATCTCCCAAAACTTCTACTCCAAGCCTGATTCTTGACAGTCTTAGTCACATTGAGCAGATCGGAGTAGCAGTTTCAAGACCAGCTGACTTAGGAACCTACTTGCCATTTTCAAACATGACTTCAAAGCCTAAGTCTTAATAAAAACTATCTAGGCACAAAAAGGGGCAAGGTTCAATGGGCCGTAGGTGCCTCACTGGCAGGGTGTTTCTGGAAACCCAGTATGCATCTATCTGGATCTTTGGAAACCCTTGGAAATTTGGCCCAAAGTCACATTTGAAAATGGCAGCCAACAAACTTCAGAAATGTTTATCTTTCGTCTAGTGTCATAACAAGTTTTTTTTCTTAGCGTTCACAATTAAGAAGGAGGTTGTAACCAAGGGAAAAACCTTCCCCACAAAAATACCATGATAGGACGCAGGAAACCACATAACCAACATTTCCCATTTTCTCCACGGGAATCTCACCTTTCAAAGTCATTTTTTTGCTTTGCGGTCTTCTCCAGTGAATCGCTGCAGGCGAGCATAGCCGCTTCGGCAGGAGCGAGACTCCGCTGGGACTGAAGACGCTCCTTGGGAAGAGTTTCTGTAAGCATGAAACATGAAGAAAAGCCTCAAAAATGGCTTCTCTGTGATCGCTCAGGGCAGCAAGAGAAACTTCAGGGGCGACCAAACACTTCAGGGAAGGCAGGCCAGAAAGTGCTGCCCTGCCCGAAAGGGTCCCGAGGCAGCGATTCTGATCTCCTTGGAAGCAAGTGGCTCTGCAAGGTTTAGTGCTTATCTGACATTCATAGCATTGGTTTTCCCCCGCAAATCTTGGCTTCTCCGTTGCACCCCAGGGCCTACTTTTTTGTGCTTTCCCAAGGGAATGGGGCAGCCAGTTCCTCTGGGAGTCTGCAGACCGCACCTAGAGCCAACTATCAGAAATCAATTCTTGAGGCTGGGCTTGCTCCTCAGCTGGTCTAAACTGTGTAGCCCTAGGATCTGGCCCATTACATTTTCCTTTGCAAAAAATGATCAGGGCAGAAAAGTAAGCACAACCTGCCTGTGAGGGCTATAAACAAGGACTTAGGAGCTGCAAGGAAGCAAATCTATATGAATAGGAGTGATCTCTAGCACTGCTGAGCACATGGGCCTCCCACCAAACTCAAGGAGAGCTGCACCTCCCCAGTGATCCTCTTGCAATTCATCCTTGTCACTGAAAAATCAGCTAGTCGGTCTTTGAGGTTCTTCTAATTGGGCTGTAGGTTTCCACTTTCTTGTACGTCGATGGGCTGCTCTGATTCGGTCCCCAGACCATCAGGACACCAGAACATAGACGGCGCCTCTTGGAGCTGAGACTACCCTGGGAAGTTATCGTGTCAATACTATGAGCTAAGGTGTCAATTTAAAAATGTTTGTAGCCTGCAGACAGTTGGCCCCGGATGACATTTCCCCATCAAAGAAAAGCCAGCGAGGAATCCGCCTGACACTCACCCCTCTCCTTTTGCACGATACAGTCGGGGTAACAGGGCTGAGTAGAAAGAGCACCTTAGCTATATCTGACTGAATTTCAGCCGCTCGCTTCCTGAGTGATGCCTTTCCCTGATCGATGCCACGCTTCACTTGCGGTACTGTGGTTACTTCCAGGGACACAATGAGCACTGCACTACGCTACACCTAGGATCTGCCTCCGACCGTCTAACAAGAAGACAAATCGTCGGTATCCATAATCCAGCTATTGTTATTCAGCCTACCTTTCTTGTCCGCATTATGATAACGATCTTCCCCGCTTGGAGTTAGCTGTTTTTCTTTGTTGGCCATTTCATTCTCTGCTTGGATGGTTTCCAGGCCTGCTGGCTTATCAGCCTCCTTATACCCAAGGCTGGAAGCAAGCAAAAGATTGGAGTTTATCTTGTAAAGCAGCATCTGATTAGATAGCACCATGTTGCTGCTGCAGGCTGCACTAGCAGTCGGGTCACACCCAAACTACAGAGCTACATGTAGGATTGTGCAGGGAGCACCTTTTAGGCTAACCGGTTCAGAGAGATATGAGCTTTCATGGGCCACAACCTACCTGATCAGACCCACAATGGCTCCTGCCTTTCTGAGCCAGTTAGTCTCCAAGGTGCCAACCTGCTCTACCTTCTGCATGGCTTCAGACTGGCATGGCTACCACATCTGGAAGGAAGTGGCTTTCAAAAAGTATTCATAAACTATTCTGAAGGAATAGGCAAGTACACAAATGGCTATAAAAAAGGCCAGTCTGGATGGGAACTTCCTTCCAGAGGTGCAAGTCAGAAAGAATTGGATCTACCAAAATACTGCGAGTCGCTTAGCGCTGTCTAGGACAGTTTATGCTGTAAGGTGCCAAAGCTCAAAACTGCAGGTTTGCATTGCAGGAGTCTGGGATTAATTTATCACATAGTATTGCCTGTAAATGCATACTCTTGATGAACACAGTTGGCAGGTGACATCCTGAAACTTTCTTACTCAGAGCCCAATTCTTGACATTCTTACACACACCAAGCAGATCCGGGTAGCGGTTTCAAGACCATCAGATGGTTTACAATGACAGGGGCCAAAGCTCAATATTGAAGACTTGAACTGCATGAGCTTGGGATCTGGGGCATCCATGCTTTCTTTTGCCCTCAGGCACCATGTACTCTGCGGACACCACACACTTGATTACATTGCAACCCTTCTCTCAGTGCTCTGCTTAACACTCCCACCCACTGGGAGCTGGGCTCCTTTAGCACTTCTGCCTGCAAGGGATTAGCCCCTCATGCTAAGCCGCTTCTGCAAAGTGCAAGCTGAGTTGAACAAGTAGTCCACAAACTGGAAAGGAAGCAAACTTACTTACCTGGGCAACTTCCGAGGTCTGGCCACATGGGAAGAAGTGATGAGTGTCCTTGAACCTGACCCTCTTGAAACGGGTGAAGTAGCTCGTTGGAAAGTTACTGAGTCTTCTGCCACAGGCCTCAGCAAAGGAACCTGACACAAGATAGATGATGCTGCAGAAGTTAGCAAGCAGGAAGCATGCAAGGCAAACCTTCCTACTTCTACAGCAACCTCCTGCTGCTCAAAAATCCCAGCACAAAATTATTTTCATTAATGTTCATTCTTCATGCATGTTCCTGGCCCAGTTTGTGGCCTCTTTTCATGGCCCGGAGAGCTTATAACAAGATACAATAGGCAGAACTTGGAGGAAGACACCGGTTGAGGACTCAGAAGATCCAGGCTCAGACTGTGTCACGACTCCTTTTGCATCCTCGAGCAAGTCACTTAAGCCCAGACCCTCCAGAATAGCTGTGCATGCAACTTGGATGGACATGAGGGATTAAGGACCTTTGAAGATGCAGTGGGCATTAGGGACTTAAAGACATGGTGGGCATTAGGGATCTAAAGACCTTCGAAAATCTGAGCTTCAGGATAGGCAGGGTACACTAGGAAGTTATGTCAAGCTGATCATGTTGGGTTGAGGCAGTCATTTATTTTTAGAACAAAGGTTCAAGCTATCAAACATTGTGGACAAGCCACCAAACAGAATTTATCATTGCTTCAAACCACCAAATGCCAGAACAGCTCCACTAGGAAAGAAAAGCTGCCCCAGATCCTAATAGATGTTAATAGTCCGACATGGGCAAAATCCTTCCTGTAGATGCTGCAGCTGACACAGCAGGAGCCTTGTGTGCCACCTGCACTTGAAGGGGTAGTTGCACTGACAAAAACAGCAAAAGTTTTCTAGGACAGATGGGGCCTTAGTCTTTCTATGCCTCAGTTCCCCATCCCTCCAAAGGGGCAACACCTCTCCCTCCATGTGCCTTGCTTATTTAGACTGGGAAGATCTTCATCTCAGGAACTGTCTCTACCTATCCACATCTCCAGCACTTCACTGGATTTCATAGATTTCATAGACATTTGGGCTGGAAGAGATCTCGAAGGTCATCGAGTCCAGCCCCCTGCCCCAGGGGCAGGAAGTCGGCTAGGGTCAAAGGATCCCAGCAAGATAGGCATCCAAGCATTTCTTGAATAAGTCCAGAGTAGGTGCCTGCACCACATCTGGAGGGAGTCTATTCCGGGTCTTGGGGGCTGGAACAGTAAAGAAATTTTTTCTTATGTCCAGCCTAAAACGGTCTTGGAGGAGTTTACGACTGTTGGTCCTTGTTTTTCCTTGGGGCGCTCTGGTGAACAGGCGTTCCCCCAGATCCTGATGCACACCCCGACGTACTTATAGGCACCCACCAGGTCCCCCCTGAGCCTGTGCTTT